AAGATTCCACCAGCTCCACTTGCAGAAGTAGGTCATGCAGACGCCTACAGTAAGCAACTGCAGGTTAAGTGCCTGTCTTTGTATTCGGAGACAGTGAATATCTGCCTTGGCCTCTGGTGGGGGCTGGTGGGGGGCTGGTGGTCTATGTACTGGGTCTACCCACAAGAGGGAGACAAGTCCACAAAAATGCATAAAAGAGTGCAGTATGTTAGCCAGCCTTTATTCCTTTCAATTGCAGCAGTATCACCATATTAAACTTTAATTTTATAGCCAGAGAACACCTTTTTTTTATTATTTCTTTTGGAACTAGACAAATCCCACTCTCTAATTCATGTGATAAAGCGAACGTTTTTTTACAAGTCCTGAGAACATATACACTAAAACAAACCAATCGTGTTCACCTGAAACATAGCTTTATCATAAATTATAAAAAGAGTATGAAGAAAACGAGACAGAAGGGAGGCACAGACGACAGAAACAGACAGACAAAGACAGACAGGAGTAATAGACAAGAAGACTGCCTGGAAGAAGAGGAGACTCCAGCGCTGACCCTGCTCCAGTGCTCTGCAGTGTGAGGTAGTTGGTTGTATGGTTTCGCATAATAAACAGCCTGGAGATAACTGTACAACCTTCTAGCTTTCCCTGCGGTGTCACCCAGACTTCACACAAATCCCACCACCCTTTATGTCTCTTAAAGTGGTAAGTACGAAGGCTGACCTGAAAAAAAGACAAAGTTGTAATATTGACCGACTTTTCCGTTTGTTTTTTTTCAGCTCAAATTAATTAAAGTTATGAAGAAAAGGATGTCTTCTATGAGGTTTTAAGGTTTTAGTTAAAGTATACAAGTCAAGGCTACTAATTTTATTCAGGTGTAAATAGTTTATATTCTCTTTTTGTGTCTCATTATTTTAATATTTTTTGATATATATTTATGTAAAATATTTTAATACATTTTCAAGGTCTGTCTGATTTAAAGATCTTCGGTGAGTATTTTGCAATGATGGACAAAAGAGAAGCATTGACAGTCGCTGCATTGATGTCACGTAGAGGTGACATCCATTAATCACATCTAAACACAAATCTAAAAGCCCATAATTATAATGACACGAAAAAACAAGCTCTAAAACTGTTTCTGCACTGACTTTAAATCTAATACATCTGAAACACTAATCGGGTTTTGCTGTTGAGGTCCAGCTAATCCAGACATCAATATACCCACCTTGCTCTGCAGTGCTCTTTGATTTGTTATTTGGTGCAGTCCAATGGGGTATAGAGCCAACTATCAATAGCTGTTTGTTTCGGTGCTTTCTTAGCACGACGTGCACAAAGAAACACAGAACATCTCTTCAGACGACATTACGCCGGAATGTGATCGGGAACGTTTAAACCAGAAAAACAGGAAAATAAAGCTTTAGAGGATATTTTAAATACTTTAAGTGTAGTTCAGGGGCGTTTTTTTCTGTCTGTAAAGTTAAACATCAGGTCTGGATCCACCCACAATGATTTTCAAACAAAATTGAAACTGCAGTATGTTACAGCCTTGAATTTTTATTGAATAGTTTCATGACATATTATGCAACAATATGTGGCATTTTATGGCAAAACGTTTCTAGTTTCTGTTTAATTTTGAAAGCGTCCGTGTTCACTCATTCAGTTGACATAAAATCTCCAAAGTTAACTATCTGTACACGTTTGCTGCTCTCTGTAGTCATGGTAGATAATGACAGAGTGCCCAGACGTTAGTGTCAGTGTGTCCTGAAGCATGGGGCTGTATGTGAACTTGCTTACCGCCTCCGCCTCCTTTTTCCTCCTTCTCCTCCCCAACTCCCCCACCCCACCCCCCTCTGTCCCCCAGTGTGTCTGGCTAGTGGCTCAGACACTCAGTATCCGCATTGCGTTGCAGTGCTCCAGCGAGGAGGGGAAAAAAGAGCATATATCAGCAATCTCTCCCGAGCACTGCTCTTTTCTGTACGCACACAAAGAAACGACTCCCCGGCATGATCCATCTCAAGAGGAAATACAACCGTCACAATAGAACCGCCTGCCACTCGCTATTTTATAAAACGTGTCCAGTTCATGCATTTGTTTTACATTTAATACTGACATTTCATACGTGTCGTTATTTTTTGTTATAACCTTTATTTGCTCATTAATTCGTCTAAAGTTAATTGTATATATATTAATATATATATAATATATTCCGTTGTATCACTTCACTCCTGCCTGAAATTTAAAAATATGTCTTTTTTCACTGAAATCTGTCACAACATATTTGTTGTTCTAGCAATTAAGTGCAATGTTGGGAGTTTTTCTGGGAAAGATGCAAAAGTTCAGCTATGTGATTTCACAATTTCTCATAGCTAACTTATCAGTCACTGTATGATGGCGGATATTTGGGAATTTTTGCAACAAAGGTGTATAGATTGATATGCAATGACCAGTCCAGATAGCAGACTGTTGTGTTAATGAAATATGTAAGAAGAGCAGCAGTGTTGTGGTCAGAACGGCTGGGAGGTTAATCACCTTTGGGCTTGCTGTGGCTTTGATCCTCATGCTGAGTAAAATCCACAGCCTCCGTCTGTAATACCCCCCCCCCCACACACACACACACACACCCTCTCACACAGATGCATGTGTGCACAGTGGTGCACAAGGACATGCACACACACACACACACACACACCACACACACACACACACACACACACACACACACACACACACACACACACACATGCGCCTCCCTCCGAACACGTTGACTCCCTCTCCTCCAGATGCGCAAACGTAGCAGCGCAAGTTCAAACACACACAAACAAACACAGAGCAATAGACACCCATTTAGAGACACGGCATCGCGTGAACGTAGACTGCAAGATGGGCAAGACGGGACGTCACGCCTGGAAAAAATGTAAGGGGTTAGAGCGGGAGAGAGAGAGAGAGAGAGAGAGAGAGAGAGAGTGGGGGAGAGACGGAAGAGGGAAGGTTGAAAATGAGGGGAAGGGCTGAGACAGAGCAGGGGGAGGCGGGGACAGAGTGATAGAGAGTGTTCAGGCAAGAGAAGAAGAAAGAGCGATAGCTGGAGATGCTGCATGCTTGCATAAGTGTCTGAGTGTGTGTGTGTGTGTGTGTGTGTGTGTGTGTGTGTGTGTGTGTGTGTGTGCGCGTGTGTTTGTGTGTGATGTATGTAGGTGACACAGATTTATGAAAGGAGAGGGTCATAGATGGAGGCGCTGTTGGTGGGTGTTGGGGGTTGGTGGAAGTGGGGGTGTTGGTACAGCACCAGATAATGGAATCAATGCAATCTGTGTGTGTTTTGCTGTGTGTGTTTTGCTGTGTGTGTGTGTGTGTGTGTGTGTGTGTGTGTGTGTGTGCGCGTGTGTGTGTGTGTGTGTGTGTGTGTGTGTGTGTGTGTGTGTGTAGCGTACCTGCCTCATAGACATTGCTTGCTCGGACTCTAATCGCCTGGAGAATTAGTGATGTGACTTGGCAGAGGGAAACAGGCGCAAAACAGAGCCAGGGACAGCGCCTGAGAGAGGGATAGAAGAAGAGGAGAGACAAAAAGAGGAGAGCGAGAGATGGAGGGGTAGCGAGAGGGGAATAGCTTTTCTGTTCGCCACCGCGTACAGTGCTCAGAGAAAAGGAAGACTGTGAAGACGGGGCAGGATAGGTTTTATGAAGCGTTGTTTTCTTTACCACTGGATTAATTGTTGTTTTTTTTCTCTCTGAAGGGGAAATCGGATCAATAACTCATCAAGAGCGCGTTGTTTTATGTGTGTGTGTGTGTGTGTGTGTGTGTGTGTGTGTGTGCGCGCGTACCTGTTTTATGTACATGCACTTGTTGTATGCATGTGCACATGGACATGAGTACAAATGTGTGTCTGTGTGTGTGTGTGTTCTCATAAGGAACACCAGGCAAAGGCAAATGGTGAGTTCAGAATGACTTAAACGGGCCGGCTAACAAATCGAGACAAGCAATTCGACTTACCACGTCCACCCGCCATCTTCCCTTCATTTGTGTCCACCTTCATGTTCATTCTTTTTGACATAGGTAATTCTTTTTTTACCCGAGAATATTTCACCTCATCTTCCCTCTTGCTTCTGGTTTTCATCCTCCGGTCTTTGTCTCTCGTGCTTTTGAGAACAGCAGAGGAGCTCATAAAACTGGGACAGAGGAAAATATCTCAAAGCACAGAGACAAAGAGGAAAGAAGAGAGAGGCATTCTTAATTTCTCACACTAGCAGCAAAAGGCTTCATGTTCTGTTTGTCCTTCGTGGAGTTGCATGTTTGTCTGCATATGTGTGCACCTGCCCAGAGAAAGGTTTTGTAAGTTAGGGACGTGTTCTGGATTGTTGGCAGACAATAAAGCTGCAGTCTGCACAGCCCTACATGTGAGGAGCTTTTCAGCTATGTACCAGTTGTTCATGTGGCATCTGCAGTGTCAGGCTTGTATGACATTTATTTTGTCTGGGGAAGAGTAAATCAGTGTAACTCCCTCAAGGCTGAGCATCTTTGTCATGGGGGAGTGATTGCATAATCCTGTGAGATCACAAGGCCTGTAGGAAATATAAGACGACAGTGTTGTCTGCGGCTCCAGGCACAGCTGTCTGTGGATGTTTCATGCATGTGCACAAGCAAAGAGTCGGGTGTCTGTGTGTATATGAACTGTATGACCGCTCTGTTGGAGTTTAACGCTCATGCAGGCCTGGGCGGCCGTATGTTCATCCCATAGGCAAATCCCAATTCATACATTAAATGTGAGGATTTTCCTCTGCGTATGTGCGTCTGTCCTAAAATGCTTTGTCTATCTGTCTGCCAGCAGGGGGCATTCTGTTTGAACGTCTTACTGCACAGACCTGCACTGACAAACAGGCGCTGGCTATGTCAGGAGGAAAGACAGTAGAAGGGCCCTAAAAAAGAAACGAATGGATAAATGTTGCTACGAGAATTGATATTTATATGTTAAACAATGTACTCTAACTAAATCTTTCTCTTTCTGCAGGATGTGATCCAGGCCATTTTGTGCAGACGTGTCCAGACTAAACATTTCTGCAACGCCATCGATGAAAAACGGTAACCATCCAATATGACGTATGGACTGTCTCTTGCTCTTATTTTATTTTGTCTATTTTTGTTATGATTGATGCTATGTACCTATCAGTAGTTTAAAATTGTGTGCAGGTTTAATGTCCAAATGTAATCTCACTGAGCTTATATAATGGCATACGCACTTAAATAACATACATACTTAAGATACGTCATAGAAATATATATTTTCGTGTTAAAGTTTCACAGCTTATTAAAGATGTGTTGGATTTTAGCTGTGGACGAGGCTCATCGAACAGCAAGCTGCTGCCTTTTTCAGACCAGCTGTGTCTGTCGGTGTGCTTCATTGTCCCTGAGACCCTTAACCTGTGATGATATGAAAGGTCACAGGTGAGGTCCTTGGGAACAAAGTTGCATGCAGCTGCACCTGGAGGCCACAGTATTTCCTGTCATTAGACTTAGATAATGCAGCACAACAAGCTGTGTACTTCTTAAATCATGAGATTATCACAAATGTAACACAGATCAGAGTAAGTCTGCAGAGCAGTTGTAGAATGAATTTTAACTGCGTGAACTCATCTGGAGAGAATTGCCCAAACTTTCCAGATGTCACGGAAAGCCATGACGAGACAACGTGCTTCTCTGGAGGGGGCAGTACCTTTTGGCCGGCTTTGTGCGCTGAACACTTACACAGTTCAATAAAAAGACAGCCAAGGTTCGTGACCCCGATATATTATTCACCTGAGATTTTTTGACGCATTCGAGAAGAGACAGGAAACACTTTCATAAAAAGACAAGTGTCATCACCATCATACTTATTCATTTGTATGAAATATTTGTTATTGTTAGACTAGATTAAGTAAGAAAATTGTGATTAATCCTGTTGTTTTGTGCAACTAATAATCCAAATATATATATATCTCAATTAAGACAAAGAAAATCTTCACATCTGAAAAGCTGGAACCAGAAAATGTTTGAAATGAAAAGAAAGAGATTAATTGATCATCCGAATAGTTGTGGATGATTTGTCTGTCAATTGATTAACTGATTAATCAACTGGTTGTCGCAGCTCTACATTTTTATATTTTGCACCTTGTTCTGTTTTTGATGAACTGAAGATATGACAATAAAATTCAAGAAATGGTTAAAACTTGTGTTGTGTTTGTTGTGTAAATCCAATAAATACTAGATTTTTATAAAACCATAATCAGCTTTTTATTTTGTGGCACCGAAGCAACGTAGGACACATCCAGTGAGGAACTCAACGTGAGATAAATGTTTCATATCAATGCAGTAGTGCCCAATATGTGATATCAGGCTCCTACAGAGAACACAAAACTTCTTCACCGTCACATTTTTCTGACTGCTTAACAAAGCGCCGACAGTTTTCAGGTGAATAAACGAAAGTGACGCGGTCCTCTTTCAGACTCTCACCCTGACTCCCAGCCAGGGTGGCTCAGTGTTCCCTGGCTCTCAGCCCTCTGTGTGTTTGTGTGTCCCAGGACAGTTGACATTGATTGTGCAGGAGACAGACTGAGACACATTAGTACCCAGCTCGCTCCTGCCGCTGAAAAACACATTAACTGGCTGCATTGGGAGCCCTGTCTGGTAACCATGGCAAAACACACAGGGAGGGGAGGAGGAGGAGGGTTGAGACGGGGCAGCGGGTTCAGCGCGCAGTCTCTCAGGGGTTGTCTTTCTCAAACGCTCCTTTCCTTTCCCTTCGGCCACGTCTGTCATTTTCTCTCAGCCTCTCTCTCTCCCTCTTTTTGAACTGACAGCTTCTCTCTCTCTGTCTGTCTCTCCCCTCCTCACACACATATAAACACAATTTGCATATTTCTTTATCTTCTCCTGCATTCTTCTTCTTATTGATGCTGACCTCATCAGTCTGCCCTTACCTCATACTCCACCCCCTTATCCAGCTTCCCTGTGCAACATAATCTGCCTCTCTCTAATTTGCCTCCCCCCCCTCTCTCTCTAGCCTTTGTACCCCATGTCTTTTCTTCTATTGTCAATATGGTTCCCCTCTGTGGAGAAGCACAGGAAAGACAAGGAAAAGAGGAAAGAAGAGGAAAGCTGCAGAAACAATGTGGAATAAACTCAATAAATAAACTGACAGATGAGATGATATTTTTTTTACAATAATAATATAAATGTATAACAGCATTAAGGATACAGGAGATAGTGCAGATAGTTTTATAAAGTTACTCATCCATATTATGCATCTGTTGTATTCTGCTACTGTAGCAGTAGTTTTCCTAAAGGTATTGTGCTTAAGTAAATTTTAAGTTACTTGTTATTTGAGTATTTTAATGTGAGAAGACTTTGAAATTAATCCTGTGTTTACTTTATACTTTGTAATAAACTGTTTGTTTTTTTAAATATTCAAACAACTCATACAAATGTTAGACTATAAGTTAAAGCTCAGCTATGCAACTTTTGCTGGACTGTGGCCTCTAGTGGCGATTACAGGATAAAGTGTAACAGTACAGCAAGAAGAGACCAATCATAGAGTCAGTGAACTCAGTAACGTCAGTACACAGTAATAAATATAAAGTTCATAATAAAGATTGGAAATATTAGCCACTATAAGATATTGTCATACCACACCAAGTGAGGCTGTAGCAGCAAATCTCCTGAATGTATTGAAGGCTGCCTAGTCTGATAATTATGTGAGTATATTGTTGTTTATTGTGTCATCCACTTACACATGCTGATCCCACATGGACCAAAATACACCACAAATAACATTTACATTTGTTTATCCTGTACCAAGCTCTTCAAATATACTCTGCCATAAAGAAGATTTCCCTCCTTGAACACAACCAAACTTAATCTTCCAACAAGAAGTGAAAAGTATATATTATATAAATCATCATATTGAGCAATAAAACCATTAAATATGTCTTCACAGATTTTCTCTTTATACTATTATTTATGTCATCAAGTGTAATTGTAGGGTGTTTATCAGTTTAACAAAGAATCAGTGTATTTTTAGAGTTTTGTAACTTTCCTCCATCACTGTAGATATTAAATATTATATTTGTGCCTCTGTGCATTGTTCATAATATCACTACTGTCTAATAATCATTGAGCCGTACATTAGTCTGTAGGGGGCAGTGCTGAGCTACAGTCCCACTGCTCGGTTGAGGTGGCCACACTGTACTTTTAATAGGAATTAAATAATAATGAATAGATACATTAAAAAAAACCTCACGAGTTTATCAAGTACCCTGTTAAATGTACAGTACTGTACATTATAGAGGTAAATATTGTAATTTATATGACATCTTTGCTCTTAATAATAGGTTTTAAATGTTAAAGATAAAGCAGCTTTATACACATCTTAATGTGAACAAAAACACTTACAGGTTTGATATTATCTAATTTAATTGTTTACATTGTATTTATTATTCAGTCTGTCTCCTGGAAGTGTAAGTAAGTGTACATTTTTGGATAAAAAGGGAGACAACTTCTTTGGAAAATAAACATAAATCGTTTTAATGTGTGATTTGAATACATTCCTGTGAGATTCAATGTCTGTTTTGTTTTTTCTTTTGTCTTTATGGTCATAAAACATCACTGCAGCACACTGTTGAAGTTACACAAGAAAATGATTACATAAAATAATGGCTTAGACCCTTCATGCCTCTGCAAAGAGTTGTATTGTAGACTACAGTACTCACTCTAGTTGTGTTATTTACTACTTATTTTCTATGCCATTTGACCAGCACAAATTGTCTCCACATTCTGAATCAAAACAGGTATTTTATTGTCTATTGTACACAGCATTCACACCCAACTATAAAGTGCAACAAACCAAAATAGTGTGAGGAAATTGTATGGGTGGTGTGTAAAGTATCTGCTGAGATCAGTGTGGAAAGACTAAAGAAGCGCCACAGTGACTGTGAGTATACATACTGCATGTGGTTTACAGTGTGTGTGTGTGTATATATATATATATATATATATATATATATATGTGTATGTATGTATGTATGTATGTGAGAAATCCCAGTAAACCGCCTGAGAGGGTTGCTGAGGCGGAACTAAAACTCTGCGCCACAGTTTCCTTCACAGCCTGCTAAACGTCACGGACACCCGGAAGCAAACGCAAAAATTTAAACAGCCATCACAACAACAATAAACGCGCACTTTCAGTCTACGGGCTGTCTGGTGAATCAAGAATTTATGGAAAATTAAAGTAAAATCGCACAGAGGATTTCTTTAAGGTGAGACACGCACTCTGTGGATTGCACTGTTTTATCCGCTTCACGCCGCGAACTACTCTTTCCATCGCCATCGATTTTGAAACTGACTATCACCTGGAAAACAATCTGGTCCATAGGCACGGGGATTGTTTAAGGCCTGAATCTGAGCAAATGTATCATCCTTCAGTCTCAGTGGGGAATGCATGAGGTTTTTACGATTTTTTAAAATAAATTGCATGTGTCCAATGTTGAAATAAGGAGCCAAAGGAGCTGAATTTATTGGGATTTCCTTGCAGCGGTATTAACAGCGCACATGTTGAAGCTAAGCGTTCAACTATCGGTGCTCCTTCCCGCCGTTGCAACGCTGTAAGTCCAGATAATAGACACGGCCGTGCAAAGACCACATCCTTTTAAATATTTATAAAAACACGTAAACATTTAGTAAGTTTCTCTTATAATTATTTCTAAAAATATGCACGTGTGTATTCTCTCGTGCTCTGCAGAATATTATTGTTTATGTTTGTTGTATTTGTTCCTTCTGCTTTTTTTTTTTTTTTAAATCAATAAAATAATATTATTTTTTAAAGCTTTTATAAGTGGATCAATAAAGCATTTGGATATTTTAATTATTGCTTTAGGTTATAAATAATAATTGTGTCAATATAAGGGAATAACGGATTTATATCAATAAGAGGGAATAAATATAAATATATAAAGAGTATTAACCATAATTACATGATATGTGTTTAAGATCAGTGTAACTTAATAAAGTTGTTAATATTGTCAATATTACCTGTTAAATCAGGTGTCAAAGGTCAATAAGCAAATTAATATAAAAAAATAAAGAAATTCATGATTAATATGACACAAAAAATATATTTCTACATATTTAAATAACTTGATTTAAAATTGAACACAAAATCATATCAGCCTATGCAACTAACAGTTATTTGGATTATTAATAATAATGCAGAATAATTTCTTGATTATTCAATTAATCTTTAGAATATCAGAAAACTGAACAATCCCCACAATATTATCCTTGAGCACAGGGTGACGTCATCAAAATGGTTAATTGAATGTCAAAATAGTTGCTGATAATCATATTTTTAACAATTAATTGACTAAACTTTGCAGCTCTAGTTAGAATAAGAAAATAATTTCTCATTGTAACACTGAACGGCGTTCAGTCCGTGGTTTGTGATTCGTTCTGCTTCACATGGAAAATCAAATCCAGAATTGTGCAACTTAAGTCCTGCTCCATCACAGTTACACCCAGTTATATAATCAGTTTTAAATAGTTTAATATGCATTGTTAATTTAATTACAATAACAATTTCAACGTTCAGTTTACAGGTGTAAACTCCAAGCGGTCCAAGCTGACGGCAAAAGTATGGAAGAAGAAATAAGGACGTCTGAGACGGAACAAGGCGATGCTGGCAGCAATGAGGGAGAGTCCAGTGCAGACATATCCAACAGCAGTCCGGTAAAAAGAGGAAGGGGGAGGCCACAAGGCTCAAAGAAGTTGAAGGTTTGTGTTACGGACGTCAACCTAATGGAGCTGGTTTCGGGCATTTCTAACGGCGGGTCCACACAGCCCCAGAGGGGAAGAGGGCGTCCAAGACTCACAAAACACACAGAGCAGCAAGGATCGGGAGACGACGATGCTGATAATTCTGTGCAAACCCCTAGGGGTCGGGGGAGGCCCAAAGGGTCCAAGAAACAGGCCAGTGACAGTCTTACGACAGACCGTTCTCCTAGGAAAAGGGGCAGGCCAAAAAAGTCTCTTGAAAAAGTCTCTCTTGAGAAGACTGATGATGAAGACTTACCAAACGGTGGCTCTGATACGCCAAAACCGAGGAGGGGTCGCCCAAAAGGATCCACGAAGCGCAAGTCGGAAAGTTTAGGAAGTGTTGAAGAGAACGAAGGCAGTTCTGTGACACCGAGGAAAAGAGGTCGACCGAAAGGCTCTCTCAATAAGAGACGCCGGCTGGAGAGAGAGCTAAGCAGTGAGGAGGAGGAGGACGACGAGGAGGAGGAGGAGGAAGAAGAAGAAGAGGAGGAGGAGGAGGAAGAAGAAGCTGATGAGAGCCTAAACTCGCTTAAAAGGGGGAGAGGTCGGCTCCGGAAGGTGGAGGTGAATAAAACGTCTGAGTCGAATGGCATTTCAAAGCCTCGGAGAGGGAGGGGAAGGCCGAGAAAAAACATCGAGCGGGTGAGCGGAGATAAACAAGAACTGGGCTCAGACGGTTCCCAGCCAGTTAAGAGGGGTAGAGGTCGACCTAAAGGCTCTTTAAACAAGAAACCCCCAATGTATAAGGTGCACGGTAAAGTAGGCCGGCCTCGGAGAGTACATGCCACGCCCACAAGAGGGAGGCGTGGTCGACCGAGAAAACAACCAGCAAAAAGGGGACGGCCGAGGAAATACCCTCTGCCGTCACCCGAGGAGCTAAAAAAGCCTAAAGTGTGGAAACCGCTGGGAAGGCCGAGGAAATACCCACGCGTCGATCCTCCAGAAGGAGCTCCGCCGGCCCCTCGCCGGAGCCGCGGCCGACCTCCCAAGTCGGCGTCCAAGAAAGGCGCCCACTTACGCAAGAGCTTACCCACCACTCCATCCTCGCCGCGCAACCCTAGTGACGGATCCCCGAGGAAAAGGGGCCGTCCGCCAAGTATTCCGAGGAGCGAAGAGGACGTCCCGCGGAAAAGGGGTCGCCCTAAAGGTTCGGTCAACAAAAACAAAGCCAGAAGTGAAACGCAGCGCAACAGCAGCGCGCTCCCCAACCACGATGCAACCGCTGTTGGGGCAGAACATGAAGGAGAGTCCGTAGAACAGGAGACGGAGCACGAAACAGACACGATACCCGTCGAGCTCGGAGGCGATACTGAAGAAATTCTCGATCAGGATGCAAGCTTTGAAGTTAGCAACCAGGCTTGATGAACGATCCCGGTCTGACCAAAAAAAAAAAAAAAAAAAAAGTTGCTGTAGTAGCTGCTGTTTAAAACATTGAATACAATCCTTGTCAATGAAAACACGTTTTTAACATTTTGTCAGTTGGGGTAGGCTAGATATTCAGCAGCTCTTCTGTTTTCCTGACTAACTTGTTCATGTTTTATTGTGCTCAGTTTCTTTTCTTTTTGTTTTTTTTTGTTTTGTTTTGTTTTGTTTCAAATACCTTTTTTATTTCTTTCATCTGAGTAAACAGTAGTACTAATAATCTTTTACTAGAACTGGCATTTAGAGTTTATTATTATAGACTGATTGGTCCAGTTTTCATTTAGCTTTCAGATGTAGTGTTTGTCAGTTTAACTGTAACTGTAAAACATTTACTGGGGGATGACAAATGTTAGAGAGAGAGAGAGAGAGAGAGAGAGAGAGCCGAAGTCACGACGACGTCACGCCCAGGCTAGCCACTAACTTCTGTACCTCTCATCTGTCCTTCCGAAGAAATGAAATGTTTCTTTCCATCCTCTACGACAAACTGGCATAATGCATACAGATGATGATGATACGGGGGCTCGGTCACATTCTTTGAAAATGTAAACAATGTTTTTTTTTTTTTTTTTTGCCAAACACACACCTTCCTGTTATGATACTGCTCTGCCAGCCGAGAGCCGCCAGCTAACAAGTCAAGTGTGGGTTTTATAATGATGGGTGAGGTGATTTATGTGTATGCCTTTTTGAGTTTAAAATGAGTTATCGATAATAACTGGATGTTTCGGAGGAAAAGGAAGAGGAGGGGAATTTGTTATTAAAAAAATTTAAAAAGATGATTATTTTTTACCTTTTGTTCGGCAAATAATGAGAGAGAACTTAAAACTTGACACAAGTTTAGAACTTGTAAAATGTTTGTTTTTTTTATTGTTTAAGCAGATATAATCGCCATTTTTATAACAATGTATCAACAGACAATGTGAAAACAATGTGAAATGGATCACTCGCAGTGATTAACCTGCAGATGATTGTGACCAGAATCTGCAGCTCCCCTCGGCTTTACAGAGCGATGTCGAGTTTCAGCTGCCGCTCCCTCAACTTCACTGTTTCTGTTCCCTCTCACTCTCATAGCATCACTTTTTTTTGCCACAGCCGGTTGCTGTTTTCAGAGAAAAAGCTGTAGAAACCCACTGTAGGCTATCTGCTCAGCACCAAACAGCAGACGGATACAGTTAGTGAATAGCCGGGGGAAACATAGTGGAGCAATTAGCAGCTAAAAAAGGTTTTTCCCCTTTAGGAGTTTTGGTAGAGACCAAAAACTGAGCTAAAAAAGTGAATTCTGGTCTTACGTTTACCAGGTGGCCACAATCTGCTAGATGTGTGAAGAAGCAACTGCTTGCTAACAATTTTGGCATAGCAACTTAAAAGATGAGGATGTGTAAATGTACCACTGCTCGCCAAGTGGCCAAAACGTGTATTGCAGGCTTAAGAGAACAAAGCCTAAAACAAACACTGAATAAACAATATTAAAACCATGAAAAATGCTTTTAATGCTCTGTTCCCAGGCTGGAGCTTTAAGTAATCATCCAAAATGTCGACGTGAGGTTTTCTTTGCTTCTGGAGCTCAGACGTCAGTCTTCACTCTATTGAGTATCTGAGGAGAATTTGAGATTAAATATTTGGCGTAATTTTCTCAATACCATTTCACAGTCGATCGTGTCTACATATTTGGTTTGCCTTAATTGCCAAAGCTTTGAATGTACCATTAGTTAACGTTATTTAGATCAACTTCTTCTCAACTTTTGTTACTGACATTCCTCAACAGTGGCAGAAAGCTCTGAATCAAACGCCTTCCTGCCCGCCTCCTCCATTTCTACCATTCATCTTTTTTCTGTTTCCGCTGTTATCGAGTCGTAGTTACTTCACTCTTCTCTCTAAATGTTTGTGTGTAGCTGTGAAGCCTTTTTTTTTTTATATAACTTGGGACTTTCATGAGATTAAAAAGTGATTTGATTGATTTCACAGACATTTACTTGTTTTTAAGCACCTAGTGTAAAAAAAATAAAAATAATAATTGTGTGACATGAATTGTACATCATTATTCCTGACATTAGCACCCTTTATGGTCAGGGTCCAACAATTGAAGTTTCTGAATGCCAAATTGTGCTTGTGTGTCAATTATCATTATGTATAAAAAGAATGTGAGACGGGGATGGAAACGGGAGGTTTTACGGTTTTAAAAATCACGTTGAAAATTCGATCTGGCTTCGTGAAGTCAAATCATTTTAAGTGGACATATTTGGATTTTGTGTGTTTTGAACAAGAAGTCAATAATTTGTGAGATTATGCTCTTGAAATAAAATGTTGATCTTGTCGTTTTATTTTGCACAGCTTGTATGTGTGTGTGTGTGTGTGTGATGTTTTATCTTTTCTCACGTTATTTCACCTCCAGACAGTTTATATAAGTTAATAAGCAGATACACTGCCAGGTTATTATTGGCTTAGTGTTTGTGGGTGGCAGCTCCACCCTCACCCCTTTGATGACTCCACTGATGTCGACCTGAGTCAGGCTCCCAACAAAGGCTGTGTGTGTTGTGACAGATGAATTACTCCAGACAGTAAAACCAGTACAAGTCAGGGTTTGTAGTTTTATAACAATTGTAAAAACGTTTTAAGACCAAGGAGAGTTTTATTTTAATATTTAGCTCATGTTATATATTATTTTAGTATATATATATACAGTATATAGTGTATGCCTTTAGGCCGTGTAGTCTCTTCGTACTCTGTGTAAGTTCTTGCTTGTTAGTTAAACAGACAAAGAAAAAGGTCAAAAACTTGGTGTAAACATGTGTCTGTAAATAATGGGCAATAGAAGTAAATGTTTTGTTCAGAATAATAAATAATAAAATCATTACAATTTGTTGTCTTTCTAATACAAAAGCACAGTTTTTCACTGTATTAGTTCAACATTAACAAACAAGATGACAAGGTGGTGGCATGTAAACAGATTTTCCATAAAAAGTATTTGTAAATGAAAATGTTTTAATTATTTAAATTGGGCAAGTATCTAATTTATATTAGTTAATTATAAAGACAAACAATCCATAACTACAGACTCAAAAGGAAAAAAACAAAAGACTGCCGAGAAAAAAATACAGAGTCAAAGAAAGAAAAATTAGTTTACACAATTTATGAATTCACAAATTAGCATGAATGATTAATGTGTTGGATTTCGTGGTAGCCAGTGGTGTAGATGCAGACTAAAATGACTTAAATGAGGTGCTCATGAATTACTCATTCGTGAGCACAAATTATTAAAGCTGCAGTAGGTAATTTTTATAGAAATAATTTTTTGTCATATTTTCTGAAACTTTCACTATATCCTGACAACAGTACACGAGACAGATAATCTGTGAAGAAATCAGGTTCCTCTGGCTCCTCCTGGAGGAATAATAACGATTATTATTAATGATAATGGTATTTACAAGTATCCACCGGGCCTGAACGAAATCAACCAATCACAGCTGAGAAAGAGCCTCATTCCCAGGGCGTCAAATACAGACGGTTTTGTACGGAAACCAATTTCCGCCAATGAGTTAGTATCTCAAAATAATTAGAAAGTTTCTCTATATTTTGACTTAGTATCTCAAAACAATGACTTAGTATAACTAAAAATTTCAATATGGCAAAAAGTTATTTTTATAAAAGTTATTTTAAAAGGGCTCGAATTGTTAAATCAAGGTCACAAGTTATAAGATTAAGAGCACAAATTACTAATTCAAGACCGTTAGTTTTTTTTTTTTAGTTAACCTCTCCGACCGTTGGGACCGTTGGGACCGTCGACGGGAACTACGGAATGACGTCACATTCGACAAAAGGCGTGCGTAGCTCAGTGACGTTTTCGGGCCGTGGGAATAGACGCGGAGTGATACCTCCTCACTGTTTCCTCCTCTGTGGTGGAAGAATGGATTTGAGCACCTGGGCACACCTGCCGGGTTATTTATTACTCATCCTGTAAGAGAAACAACTAACTAACAAGCAAGTGGGGGTCGCTTCTTACACACACACAAAGTTACGGACTGTTTCCGTTCATGTGACCGGAGTAAAAACTAGGTAGGTTGAATTTATTTTTCTTTCTGTTCGAGTATCGCAGTCGTAAATACGGAGTTGCCAAACAAGTTTTAGCTTTAGCTCGAAACTGCATTCCTCCTCAGCGCTCTGCACCAGGCCTTATTAGCTACAGCTCAATGTATATACAGGTGTGTGTGTGTGTGTGTGTGTGTGTGTGTGTGTGTGTGTGTGTGTGTGTGTGTGTGTTTGGGTGGGGGGAGATCTTCACTTGTCACACTGTTGGTACACAAAGGTTGTTTTTTTGAAAGTGGAAATCTAACAGTGTTGCAGCTCAGACTCTGTGTAACAAGCTGGAGGTGTTTTTTTTCTCAGCAGCTATAAAGTGAAGCATTGTGTGGCATTAATATAGGACACAGACACTGAGGAGGAAATACAGTTCAAAGTTCAATGTTTCCTGCAATAACATCACATCTCTCCACAAACACTGACTGAACCAAACAAATCCAGCCTTCATCCCACAGTCACACAACAACACATCAACACATCAACTCCATGTTAAAGCTGTGTCAGCTGCTGTTGTTGCAGTCCGCTGTATGCAGCTGGACAGGCAAAGTCCAGGTTGTTTCGTAGGTTTTCAATGAACAGGAGTGTTTATATCGCTTGTTACTCACTTTATAGCTGAAATCTATCAGTGTTTTCTGTTAATAATTGGCTTTACAGATATCACTAAGTTGGGTTTGGCGCAGTTGGGTGTTTATCAAGATGTGATATTCTTCAGTATTCAGAACTACAAGTAAAGTTTATGTGATATTCTTCAGTATTCAGAACTACAAGTAAAGTTTAGCTCTGATTAAAGTAAGATTTGTGTAGGGTTGTTGGTCTGAACGCAGTGTGCTTTAATAAATAGACTAATTTAATAATATGGATGTTTTACTTATTGTTGACATTACAGTTTAAGGTGTTGGAGAGACGTCAGTGTTGGTATTTTAAACTAATGGGGGTGAAAGGTGCACCAGCTGGCCTGGGTCATGTATTGTAATGTGTAGTACTTTGTGTACTTTGTTTTATTGTCTTTTTGCTGTGTTTTGTATCTCTGATTTGTATTTATTGAACTGCAGTGCAGAGTACACGACTCATTTCCCCACATGGACATAAGAGTTGACTAATTAATCAAAATTAATCTGCAAACATGTTGATAAGTTATTCCTTTAAGTTTTATTTTGAAGCAAAAATGCCACAATTTTCATCTCAGATGTGAAGTTTTCTACAGTTTTTAGGTCTCTTTGGGTTTTGAACTGGACAAAACAAGCACTTTTTTAAGAAGTTATATAGACCAAACAATCAGCTGGTTAAAGTATTCATCAAATTAATCGATAATGAAGCAAACCGTTAGTCACGGCTGTAAAGTATATTCCTTTCTATTTCAGTATATGATTTAGACTTTATTAACAGTGGTGAAATAAGGAGAAGATGCCATATTGCCAAACTCAACTCAAACTTGCTCTTTACACCATGTTGGCATGTGAAGGAACAAGGTGCGCCATACAGGGCGACACACCCGTGATAAACAGTGAACTTTGATGTTTTTGTGAAGCTGAAGGCAGATTAACTTCTACTAAACGTTTTTTTTAACCTCACAGGGAATTCAACAAATGACCTAAAATGACTTTTTGTAACTTGAAGAAGCTTTGCTAACTTCACGGCACAACCGGAATTAACTGAAAAGAGAGAAAATTGAATTTAAAAACTCAAGAATGTCGGCCGTAGATAAATTAATCTCAGAAGAGGAGGTGGCACCTTCACCTGCTGGTCCAACTGCAGAGCCACAAACAGCAGGAAGTAAACAGACACAAGAGAGCAACAGCACAGAGGAAAGAAGGGAGATTACAGACAACGAAGAGGAAGAAGAGGAAAAAGAAGAGGAGGAAGAGGAAGCAATTAGCTCTGCTCATCTGGAGCCCAGCACTCTGCCGTGGCCCGGAGACAAAGACAAGAGGCCTCAGACGGACAGCGATGATGGAGTCTGGTCAGAGAAGAGAGCTTCGGATCCTGAAGAGAGAGACACGGGGATCAGTGGAGTAAGCCAGGACCTGTCGGAGGAGCAGAGCCAGGCGGGGAGCGACAGGAAGAGCAAATGGAGGGAGAGCATGCCTGAGGGCGAGCGGTGGAGGGACGATGAGCTCGAGGTGCAGCGGAACAGTAAAGGGGACGGCTCACTGGCAGATGATGAAGATGAAGATGATGATGAGGAGGAAGGAGATTCGAATTGGATGTCAGAGAAAGCAGCTCTGGGTTTTACTCCTCGAGTCACGATTGTGCGTCCGTCCAGCAAAGAGCTTCCCGAGGAGAGCAGGCTCTTCATAGAGGACGACAAGAAGGAGGCGCAGATGGAGCCCGACTCCACGGGGCCGTTTTACCCAGAGTGGACAGAACCGGACGACAAGTACTGTGAGTATTAGACACAGGCTGAACTGCACCTGGGTCCATGTTTATTGAGAATTACTGTCAAGGAGCAGTTATTCGAGTGAGTGTGAGACATAAGACACACTTACCTAATGACAGTGAAGTGGAGGAGTAACATTTATGTTTCCTCTGAGCAGAAACGGCCAGTTAAAGACATAAATATACATCTGCACATTGTCTATTGTTAAAGAAAGTCCCTACATTTTACTTACTGATGTTATTCTAAGTGTATTTTTATTTGTGTGGAACCTGTGAAATTATACAGTGCTCCCTCCACCCTATTATATAATACCACCACCAAGAAGGTCCTGGTTTCATTGATAGAAACTTATGATTTAAATCACAGTCACAATAGTCGTTTAGCTTTAACCATAACTGTGGATTTTGCACATTTTAGCCCATTAATTACAAATCTCTTCCAATATAAGTTATTACCCACCTTGCAGGCAGCTGTTAGTTTACATTCAGTCTAGTATAATATTAAAAGCAACTCATGCACTCTTAATTGATCATGCATGAGTTATAGATATGGTAATGCAGCTGAAACCCTGATGGTGCATTCAAGTGCTTGTGGTAAACCCAAAGTCCCAACATTACATTTTTTTCCTAGAAACAACCAAATTGGAAGGATCTTTTTCACTGTGTTTATGTCTGTTTACTGTTTGAGTTTCTGTCAATACAACTTGTTTTTTTAATGCTTTTTGGCAGCTAAAGCTTAAACGTGAGATGTTGGAGCTTCTTTAAACACACCAATAAGAGTTTTCAAATCAATCCCTTCTAGCAACTGCGTTGGTCTTTTTATTTTTTTACAGAAGACATTTGGTATGAAAAGCACAGGTGCAAATACAATAATAATGAAGACAGGATGGTATTATTCACACTGGATCGCTGTCACTGTCACGGCTTACTGGGACACATAAATAGAGCGGCGCCATTGTTAACGTTATTAGTAACACCTGTGTATTTCCTGTTATGACAAGTCAACATGTGAAAAAGGCCGATTACCACATGGCACGACGACGTCACACCCAGGCTAGCCACTAACTTCTGTACCTCTCATCTGTCCTTCCGAAGAAATGAAATGTGTTTCTTTCCATCCTCTACGACAAACTGGCATAATGCATACAGAGAATTTGCGGTTCATGATTGGTACCTTAAACCCCACCAGACCACCCCAAGCATCAGATTTCTTAAATCCCTTAATCCTTTGTTAGTAACTATTTAGTAATTTCCTGCCCAAATATCCTCTGTCAACTACTATTAAATAAAATGAAAGCCAATTTTGAGTAGGATTATCATTAAGACAGATGCTCACAAACGACTCTGTCATTGTGATTTCAGGACACACAATCTCCTGTGCTGTGGATTTATTAATTTATTTAATATCGTCATTAAGTATAATTATGCAAAATGAACAGGTCACATATCAGATTGCTGAGCACATTTTCATTCAGTAAATGTAAGTCACGGCACACTGAGCCTTGTAGCGCACTGTAATGATCTCTCCTTAATGAGATATAATTACGCGTCTTGAGATGATTCATGCTATGAGTTCAGTCCCAGTCTCACGCTCTTTGTCTCGCTGTCACAGTCCTGTCCCAATAAAGACATTTATAGATATGATAGTGATTTTCCACACCTTTTCCCTTTTCCAGACCTGTGTGACAGCCTGTGTGGCGAGAGACTTAAGGTGGCTCTGGCGACAGTGGCCGCAGCGATCCTTTTCCCTCTCCTGGTGTGGGGAGGTTACGCCCTTCTTCCCTTTGACTCGCCGCAGCTGGAGAGCACCCCTCTTAGGGTTGTGTATACGCTACGCTGCTCCTTCTTCGCCATCATACCCATCCTGTTCGGTAAGACCTCCAGTATGTTTGTGTGTTGAGTTTATTATACATGGAGAAAAAAAACTTTTAATGTACTTAAACCAGGTAATATTGACCCTCGTGTTCCCGCAGGTGTGGTGGTGCAGGGCGTGGCCCGGCTGCGTTACAGCGTCCTGAAGCCCCTCTATCAGAGTAAACTGGTGAACAGAGAGGTGGCGGTGCACTGGCACTACGTCAACGAATCTCTGGCCCTCTTCCTCTTCTTCTTCCTGCAGCTCACTGTCATGGCAACCTACATCAGCCAAGACCTGGTGAAGCTGGTGCCGCTGCTCACCATCATATTTGTCTTTGGCAGGTATGTGTGCAGACTGTCGTACACGCTGTTTAAACGTTTAGGATCCAAACCACAGACGGAAGAATGTGTTGTTTTGCTTATCAAATGTCTGCTGAATTATATTTTATTGCTGCATTTTATCATCATAGAGTTTCCTTACTTTACACAGGAGTCAGTAGAGGCCACACTTACCAGACATGTCAGTTTATGTGAAAGCAATAAACTGAGTCAGATTAAAATATTTAATATTTAATATGGGGGGCCGCCCTGGTAGCTCACCTGGTAGAGCTGGTGCCCCCACATACCGGAGCTGAGTCCTTGCTGCAGCGGCCATGGGTTTGATCTGTGGCCCTTTGCTGTGTATCATCTCTCTCTCTCTCTCTCTCTCTCTCTCTCTCTCTCTCTCTCTCTCTCTCTCTCTCTCTCTCTCTCTCTCTCTCTTAACTCCCTGTATGTAAGGAAAGGGCAAACGTCAACAAGACTATCATGAGTAGGAATGAGGAAGAAATCCCTAAATCAACGCAATCATGATCCTGTTCAGTTTGTCAGTTAAATGAATAAGTCGAGGCCAAAAACATGAAGCTTTCCAACTAGTTTCCAACATGTAAAGCATTGTCGTTCTGTAGTTTCAGTCGTTCATTTCTATCAGTAATAAAACTTTACATACTCAGCATGCTTGAAATACACAGACGTGACGCTGCAGGCACGGCAGCACCACTGACTGTGAGTGGGAGTTAAATTGTAGATAAATGTTTAACTTATTGCTCAGTTGGTCTGTGTTAATTTCCGTTGCCTTTCAGCTGCTTCCTGTTCTGACTTTCAGCTGTTGGTATGCAAAGTAGTGCGAGCCAAAAAGAAAAGGATTCAGGCGGTTTCACAGCATATCACAGTCTTATTTTTGCGTGATTGGGCCAATAGTTGCTTATTTTACTATGAAACACACAATATAAAAACAATTAAAGTTGTTGTGAATTTAGTTGAGTAAGTTGGTGTTCGTAAGAAGCGTTGCAGTTAATAGGGCTTCCCTCTCAATACACACACACAGAGCTTACCCCTACTGTAGCGCTCTTCACAGCAAAAACTGTATTTATTATAAAATTCTGACTACTGTGGGCTCTGAAAAACAATTCTCAAACACATTACGAGGGGAAATTTAGAATGAGTATAAAAAAAAAGAGCATCTATTGAGTTATTAATCCAGATCCTTTGAGTCATCAAGCACTTGACACAAAAAAGGATGAAAGGCATGAAGGAGCTAAGCCGCCTAATGTTCCTGCTGAAAAGAGAGAGTGGGAGTACGAGATAATGTGGGTAGTGATCAGATCTTTTTAGTCCGTATTTATCCAAATCAAGCTGATTATAAGTTTTACATCAAACAGAAAGATCTAAGTCTGACTGCATCCATCTCGTCTGCGTGTGTAACCGATGATTCGTGTTGTTTTCAGGCTGATCTACTGGCTCTGCCTCTCTCTGGGCGGCAGCAGCATCAGGGCCCTCGGCTTCGGCCTCTCCTTCCTCCCCATACTGGTGATGCTGGGCGTCAACCTGTACTACGTCTGCTCATCGCTCGGACAAGGGTCGGTTTTCGACGTGGCACCGCCCACAACAGCTCCTCCTCCCAAGCAGCGCTGGTGGGGTTAAAGGGCCGACGTCCGTTAAGGCGGTGAGGAGTTCGGAGACAAAAAACTGCAACACCTTTTTTTTTTATATATCACGACACAACACGTTATTTTTGATGTCCTTTTTTAAAGTTGTAATCCTTAAGATTTCAGCCCTGGTTGATTTGGTGACACCAGTGGTTACCACGGTAACAGCAAGTGTAGTTAGTACTACAGCAAACACTCCTTGAGCAGCAGAAATACAACAAAGGTATACCGTCTAATAGCTTACTGTGTTCTGCACTATAAAAACACAAAATTGTTGTTGTTGTTTTGTAGCAGTCAGTGCTAACCGCGATGACAAACACTGTGCGTGCCACAATAAAAGCCACACATGATTCTCCAGGTGAACACTTTTAATGTGAAGCAGCTGTAGGAAATGTTTGCATTAGCAGTAACTTAAGACAGCTCTCATAACGGTGTAAAGAGAGAGAACAGTGAACAGTTCAGCTGTTATCAGGGAGATAAAATGTCATATGATCACATGCGTCATTTCCTGTGAATCCCTCGTGTTTATGAAGGCGGCGGACTCTGCCACTACCAATAAAAACCACTATATAGAGAGGTAATCAATAAATGGAAATCCAACTTAATGACTATTGTAGAACATAACATTTTTTTATCAAACATTTGATTTCATGAAAATCTCAAGGATTACAACTTTCTGTTCTTAATTTTGTTCACAAAGATATCAATAACATGAGGCAGGTTGTGGGTAAATCTGTAGTTTGAATCTTCCTCTCTGTATTAAAATAAATGCAGAAATCCAACAATATTTACATGGTAGTTAAAAAAAGTGGAAAAAGTTTACGCCAACAAAGCTCTTATCTGCATGCACATTAAAACTCTAAAAAGAGCTCTTCCTTAGACCACCTTGCTGTACAGTCTGTATGTTTTTTTTTTTATTTTACTGATCATCCAGTACAAATCTTTAAACAGCCGGCACCTTCTGTCCATCTTGAGCTGATAAAATCCAGTTTTGAGGCTTCATCCAGTGTTTGGATGTGATGCAAAATGGAGACAGAAGTAAAACTTCAGTTTCAGGGTATTATTTTTATATGAATTATTAACATTAAGTTGTTTTTAGGAATTTTCCCATTTTTATTGTTGTCACAGAGTTTGTTACTAATGGAGATCTTAAAACTTTTTATATATATAACTGTTAAATTAATCTTTGTTTTATTGATCAAAAGCTTTTTCTTTACTGTTTATAGCAGCATTAGTTGTTGGGCTATTTATGGATAGTCTCTTGGCTTTATTTTGAAGGATCTTGTTTTCAGTGTATTTAAAGTAAATCTGCTAAATATTTGGGACTTTGAGTGAGTTCAATAAAGCTTTATTAATAAATATGATACTCAACATTGTGCAGCAGCTGATTATTCAACTCTTTTACTGATTTCAGCCAAGAAAAATCTTTATTATTAAATTAAAAAGTTCAGATTACAAGTTGAAAATCTGTGATCATGATTCATGAGACAAGTTTCAACAAGAACAAACAGTCGTGTCCAAAATCAAAACCTGAAAAATGCTGTCCGTCCTGAACAACAATAGTTGTGGGCAAACTGCAGGTTTTATTTCCCCGGGAGGAAAAAGAAACTGCTGTCTCATGGTTGAAGTTGACAGACGAGGAAAAACAAACACCACAAAAATGTTGCGTCAAAATAAAGAGTGAAATATTAAACTCTGTCAGTCGACTTTCACACAGCGAGGATCCACTCACGGTTATGGGTAGGCCTCCACTCTGTTAACCCCTTAGTACTATAAAAAAGTTACATGATTATGAACATTTTGTGTGTGTTTTCGGTCATTATAGTCATTTTTGAAAAAGTAAAGTAAAATGCACAGCATTGAGTGTACACCTGAAATTAAGAATATAAAGATTAAATGTGAGACAGAAAAAGAGAAATTGTGATACGAATATGTGAAGATTCAAATCGGTGAGATGAAAAATAAATCGTGGTATCAAGACGTCAATTTAACTTCACAGAAGGAAATATGCATTGTTTTGCACAGTTTGTACCCCAACTCAGAAATAAAAAAGGATTCTATAATTTGATATAGAAAAAATATTTTGTAGATTTTTGTCTGAGAAAATCCTTTTTCAGTCAGAATTTGTCTTCAATCTCATTTTGGGAAAAAATGGGACAATCGTGAATTGTTAACGTAGTTTCTTGCCACTAAATCCTACACATTGGTCCTTTTAGGGGTTAAAATCACCAGATATTGATAAACATTAACACCTTCTTCATCACCATTTTTCTCCTTGAACACTGAACACAAGTGATGCTCCGTCACAGATCAACCTACCTAAAAGTGTATAAAATACTTAATTCAATTCAGTTTTATTTGTATAGCACCAATTCATAACAAAAGTTATCTCAGGACACTTTATAAAGTAGATCTAGACCGTGCTCCTTATAAAATACCACAACAGTAGACACTTTGTATATTTTTCCAATAAAATATTTACATCTGCCTTTCAATGCAGGGCTTTAACTTTATAAAGGAGTATTTTTACAAAGTGATATTTATGTGAGTTCCCTGAATACTTCCTCAATCAATGTTTAGACCAAATGAGGGACGTCGGTCTTATTTAGAATACTGTTGTTGCTGTGCACCTGTCTGTCTGTCTGTCTGTCTGTCTCTCTCTCTCTCTCTCTCTCTCTCTCTTTCTTTCTTTCTTTCTTTCTTTCTTTCTTTCTTTCTTTCTCACCCCAACTGGTCGAGACAGACGACCACCCACCTAGAGCCGGAGGATCTGTCCTAGGTTTCTGCCTTTTAACAGGCAGTTTTTCCTTGCCCTTGTCGCCAAGTGCTTGCTCATGGTGGTACTGTTGGGTCTCTGTAATTAATGTTTTAAAGAGTTCGGTCTAGACCTGCTCTATTTGAAAAGTGTCCTGAGATAACTTCTGTTATGAATTGGCGCTATACAAATAAAATTGAATTGAATTGAATTGAATTGAATTATTCTGTTAGTTACGTCCCAGTATTTCAGCTTCCCCTGCTCACTCGATATCAAACGTCTACCATCTTAAGACCTGTTGTAACCTGTGCAAGAATTCCAGTGAACTTCTCTACCTGAACAAACACTTCACTCAAATTTAGGAAACGAGTCGGGTACAGAGCTGTAGCCTCTAACCTCCTGTGTGTGCTGACTACTTTTCCAAGCTGTAATCAAACGGAAACAGATAAAAGTATAATTCTGAGCACAGAGTGAAATAAATAGAAACATTTTCTTCAAAAATCAATAAAAGCAACAGAAGAAATGACCCAGAATATGAACTTTCACACTTATTTGATTGCCACTCTAAATTATCTGCCTCTTTATATTGATAAGCTTGGTTTACATTTTGTACTTGCGTTGTTTATGTCTACAAATAGACAATAATCTATAACTGTATATATACGTTTAAATGTTTACCTAGGGCAGAGAGTTGAAAGAGTTACTTTAAAAATAATAATCTGATACTGTTTCTAATTACTTACCTTTAAAAAAAACGTAGTCAGTGACCTTATCCAAGTATCATGTTAAAGTAACCTAACTAGATTACTTTGTTACTTTTGGATCACCTCAACACTAAATATACAAACAAAGACACGAGAAAAGAAATATCAAAAACGGATTAAATTGTTATCCTGCCAATAATCCCAATTTTTACTAAATGTAGCTATGGCTGATTACATATTTTTTCTGTTGTTGTAATGCATTACAGTTACCTTTTTTCTGTATCCTGACTATTTAACTCTGTTACATGTAATCTGTTACTCCCCAAGCCTGACAGAGAGACACACACATTAAAGGACATTTTTACAGTACTTAGGTAGAATTTTTAGGAACTTTTCCAGTTGCTATTACACTACTAACAGGAGGAAATATGGTACTTTTTGTGTTTCTAATACATGTATTAGACAGCTGGAGAAGTAATTACTCTGCAGATGAATTAACTTCATCATTATCAATTCATCTACCCAGCAGTATATAAAGTAGTTGAACAACAGTAAAATAATACTTACACAATAATGCATCAGTAATAATAATAATGTATGTATTAGGGCTGCAACTATTGGTAATCATCAATTAATCTGTCCTTTATTTTCTTGAGAGATTACTTGGTCCATAAAATGTGAGAAATATAGTTAAAGAAAAATCATAATTTAGTGACGTCTCGAAGTAGGAACTTTTTTTTTTATGATATTAAACTAAAACGTTTGTTTTATTCAAACAACAGTCAAAAACCCAGACAACTGAACTCTTAAATATTATTAATTATGATTAATTATCAGAATAGTTGCCAATTAATGTTTTGTTATTTAAGATCTGTTATTTATATAATATTATAAAACTCTCAGGGGACTGTTTAAAGTAATTTTACTGTTGATACATTGAGTGAATTTTCTTACCAATCCTTCTGTATTTGTTCTAAGTAATCTAGTATTTTTGTATTTTACTGTTGCTACTAAAAAACATATTGAAGTGACTGAAGGTGGGATTTCTTTTATTGCTGTAGCTTTAAATTATTGTTTAATCTCTGTTGATTCGCTCACACAGTTGCTGTTTACCTCACAGAGGTCACGAGAGATCAGCTAAATTTAGCCGTCTAGTTATCACCGAATGTGTGAAATGAAGCTTCATCGCACGTGTTTGAAACTGTGACAATGAGCCGAGGATTAAGAGAGGAAACAGGAAGAGGACTGAGTTTAGAGAGATTTCACTTAAAACAAATGTTTCTGATTGGGGACTTTAGTCTTTTATCTGAATTATTTTTAGAGGCTCTTTGTTACACAGTAAACAGTTCAGAAAATAAACCAGACTCAAGTTCATTTCACTCAGTTTGTCTATTTAATATATAAAATACGGTAAAACATACGCAAAAAGGGTAAGGTCTCAAGGGACTTGGATACTTTGGTACAACAAACACTTTTTTGTAAAAGCGGTATAGAATTTCAATAACATATCAGTGCATACTTTGTATATGAAAATATACACAAATTGTATATCATTCTCAAAAAAACAACAAAAAGAAATATTTTCTTTACAACAAAAACCCAAAGCAGACTAGCTCAACACAATATATTAGCTATAAATTTCATCTTTAGTATTTCATATGCTACATTATTCTGAGTTGTTTTAAAACTCATTTGTGATGCATGTCCTTTATCATTACTGTACGTAACATAAGTTTTGTTGTTACCTGTATCCCATGCATTTACATTTTTCAAATTTCATGAATTACTAATTTCAGTTGTTTCCCGCTTTTATAAATATATTCTATATCTTAATTAAAATTGCAGCATTTAACTGGTATTTCCTTCATTGCATTTGCTAATACCACAATAACTGATCGTGCAATTTTCAGCAAGTTGTTTAAAAAAAGGAAACCAGTACTATATGTTTATGATAAGGAAGATAAAATAAGAGAGAAAATAACAGTTGACTATCCTACACAAAATAGCAATAAAATAAAAGCTCCATAATAATATCATCATAATAATAGACAATGGAACTGTCACCAGCACAAATTAATCCAAAAATAGTGAGATTCTAAAAAACATTGTACACAACGGGTAACAGGGGTGCAGGTTTTCATTTCTCATATAGATTGTCTCGTGACTACACTGCTAGATTGGACAGAGAACCTTTTTGTACATGAACAAACCTGCGTGAAGCAGGATGCTGAAGCCAATCGGTGTGGTGTCACATTTCAGTCAACCATCAGCGCCCGCAATCGCAAAGTTTCCAAGGAAATGAGTTGTCCTTGTTTTGTTTTAAAAATGGAAATGACTGTGTGGTAAAAGCAGGAGATTGTTAGCTCTGTCTGAAGGCTGGTACTGCTCAAGAGTTGGATCTTTAAAAAAGGAATATTTCAACATTATTGGAAAATACGCTTATTTGCTTTTCTCATGAAAGTTAGATAAGATTAATACCGCTCTCATAACGCTACAGTGAGCAGCTGGTTAGCTTAGCATAGACTGGAGCAAACACTTAAAGCTAATTAACACCTTTATATCGGGTTTATAGTCTTAAAATGACTCATAAACTTTATGCTGCATTCACCCAATGTGTGAAGAACATGAAAACATCATTTTTCCGACCAGGTTTCCACATTATACCAAGATAGTTACCCCCCATTGTTAGCCTTGTAGTCACATCATTTTAATAGCCTGAATTAAAAAAATACTTGAATCCCTTTATTAACTCATGGATTATTGATTGTGTGAGTGTTGTGAATGTCATGGTGACTTTTCACCCTTATTGTTAACAGTTTGACACTTCTTGTAGTTCTTTTTTTAAATGAACAATAACCAAAGTGGGTTTCAATTCAACTGTCTGTAACTTTTCAATTTGAGCATAGAAAACC